CTTCCTGCCTGTCCCATATTGGACTCCCAGAAAAATCACTTACGATGTCCACGTTCCTTGCGCGCCTCTTCTCTCGCACGTCTTCTCTAGTTACCCTGGCCAGGGCTTTCTCTTCTCGACGTGGTGGCCCTCACCTTCTCCCTCTCCTTCAGGTCCCTGCTCGGGCGCCACTTGACGCGGTCCGGCCGCGCCGAGTCGAGCAGGTCCTAATGTGCGGAAGGGGGGCGAAGAAAACAAAGAAAAACAGAAAGGACTGGGAGAGCTGACACTCCTGCGCATTGCCAGCAAAGCTTTATTAGAGTCCAGAGTATTTATACAGCAACGAAGGCACACTATTCCAGGAAATAGCATTATGCAATAGACAATCAAGCACAGTATTGGCGTCAGCAGTAGCTGGGCAAAGGTAGGCACAGCAGGGCTCCTTCAGTTGCTCATGGAATGCGTAAACAGGATGTTCTTTGTTCTCCATTCCTGCCACATCAGCAAGTGGGGGAACCGGCATCAGCCCGCTCCCCACATTCCACAAATCAGGGAAATCATTTGGTACTTATCTTTCTACCCCTGGCTTATTTCACTGAGCATACTACCCTCTAGCTCCATCCATGTTGTTTGCAAATGGCAGGATTCATTTTCTTTTTATGGCTGAATAGTATTCCATTGTGTATATGTACCACATCTTCTTTATCCATTCATCCACTGATGGATACTTTGATTGCTTCCATATCTTGGCTATGGTAAATAGTGCTGTGCATATGTCTTTTTGAATCAGGAATCTTGTTTTCTTAAGGCAAATTCCAAAGAGTGGAATTCCTGGGTCAAACGGTATTTCTATTTTTAGTTTTTTGAGGAACCTCCATATTGCTTTACACTATGAACTAATTTACATTCCCACCAAAAGTGTACCACGGTTCCCCTTTCTCCACATCCTTGTCAGCATTTGTTGTTTCTTGTCTTTTGTATGTTGGCCATGCTAACTGGTATGAAATGACATATCGTTGTGGTCTTAATTTGCATTTCCATGATGATTAGTGATGTGGAGCATCTTTTCATGTGCCTGTTGGCCCCTTCTTTTTTGCTGCGTATATTTATGATATTTATGTGCTTTTGCTAGCTAGCTTTGTACTTCTTCTCCCCTCCCTTTGCCCTTCTGTTTTATATCACATCAGATATGTAGTTGTTCATTGGCTTTCAGCTTTGATTCAGAAGTTACAGAATGTCGTGATGGAATTATGGTTGGAATAGGGAGGTCCCTGGTTGTGGGCCAGCATAAGGCAACTGATGGGCTTGAGTAGTTCCCCTGTTGTGAGGATGATTGCATTATGTCAGGGCAGAGAATTTCTCTTTGTCTGAAGGGTAAATTCCATTGTGTGTATATAAGAGGGATATGTGTTAATGTGCAACTGGAGGGGTGGATTCTAGTGGGCATTTGTCATGCTTTTGCTTCCCAGCTTCTATAGGTAATCTTCCAAAGCTTAGGTACTCTGCCTCATAACTCTGATTGGGGAAAAAGCCTGCATCATCCTATATAACAGGAAACCCTGAATAACTTATTTCTCAGCTGTTCTTGCAGCTAAGATGTTGGCATGTGACAGCCCATCAGATATTATGACTTGGCCTTTGACACGAGGAAGAGGACAGTAGAAGGAATTTTTCTAGCAGTGACATCCATTGTAGCAAGATGGAATCCCAGGGCAGTAATGCTGCTGATGGCATCCCGTGTTCAGTGATAGCTGTGTTAGAGCCATGAACTTTAACATTTATGCTTGGAGGCAGCAGGAACATTGGTATACCAATCACATCAGTTTTGTGGCATGATTTAGGCATGACATCTGGTATGTGACCTTCGGAGCTGCTCAGTATTTGTTCTCCAGCTGCTCAGTATTTCTGCTTTTAAAAATCTGTCTTTATCCTTGATCTTTGCCACTTTAATTATTATATGTCTTGATGTTGTCTTCCTTGGGTCCTCTGTGTTGGGAGATCTGTGCACCTCCATGGCTTGAGAGACCATCTCCTTCCCCAGATTGGGGAATTTTTTGGAAAAACCTCCTCAGTGACACTTTCTATCCCTTTTTCTCTCTCTTCTTCTTCTGGTGCCCCTATAATATGAATATTGTTCCGTTTGGATTGGTCACACAGTTCTCTCAATGTTCTTTCATTCTTAGAGATTCTTTTTTCTCTCTGTGCCTCAGCTTCTTCATATTCCTCTTCTCTAATTTTTATACCATTTACCATCTCTTCTACTACATCTAATCTGCTTTTAAATCCCTCCATTTATGTTACATTTCAGATATGGAATTTCTTAATGATTGAGTCTCTGACTTAAATTCATTCCCAAGTTCTTGAATATTTTTCTGTACCTCCATAAGCATGTTTATGATTTTTATTTTGAACTCTCAGGCAGATTGGTGAGTTCGGTTTCATTTGAACCTTTTTCTGGGGTTTGTGAGATTTTGGTCTGGATCATATTCTTTTGACATTTCATATTTCTGGGTGGTGCCCACTAGTGCCCGGAAGCTCCAGTCTCTGGAGCTGCTCAGCCCCTAGAGTGAGGTTGGGGGCCATAGGGGAGCAGAGCTGGTGCCTCGGGGGAGGAGAGATCTGCTTCCTGACTCCCGTCTGCGGTGCCTGTCCCCCATGTCAGAGCCAGTGGGCCGAGCACACAGGTGTAAACCTCTGGGCTCCATGTCTCTAGCTGTGGTGGGTGGGGCCTCCCTCTGACTGGCCTGATGCCAGCACAGTGACTGCAGGTGTGCAAACCCGTGCCAGCAGGCTGCGTGTCACAGTGGGGGGCCTCAGAGCTGCATAGGCAGCCAGGGGGATGGGGTTCCTGGAGCTCCTCAAAGTTCCCAACCAGCTGGGCAGAGCACCCCAGACAACCTTGTCCAGCTCTCCCCTCCCCCACGCAGCAGGCTTCATGCAAACCCCTCCCCTTCAGCAAGCCCTCGCTGCTTGGGAGCCTCTCAGACCACCCCCCAATCCCTTGTCCCAGAGCGGCCGGGTGTGGATCCGTGCTGCACAAACAGCCGGAATCTGTCTCTCAAGCGCTCCGCCTGTCCGCGCTCCCCAACGTCCAGAGCACCACACAGTGTAGGTCTCTGCTTGCAAAGCTGACCTCCACGGCCGGGTGCTCACCTGTCCCAGGCCTCCACTCCCTCCCCCGCTGGAGTGCTGGGGCAGGGGAAGGGCTCGGGTCCTGCCGGATCAAGGCTTTCGTACGTTAGCCTGTTTCGTGAGGTTGGCTCTGTCTGGTGCAGCCTTCTTTCTTGTTGCTGTTTTAGGGTTAGTTGTATCAATTAACTACATTTTTATGCTATTTGTGGTTTTGGGAGGAGTTCTCCATCTCACCTCTCACGCTGCCATCTTGAATTCCCAAGAACCATATCTGCTTGTTATTTTTGAAAGGCATCCATTTTCATTTACAAGAAGTCATTTTCTGCTTACCTCAGTAAGACTTGGCTTGTGTTATTTGCACCTAAGACCTGTGAGCGAGGCCACAATGAAGCCACTCATCAGAAAAGCACTTGAAGCCTGAACGGGAAAGTCATCAGTACTCTCTCCAGCTCATCTTCTGCTTTGTGTTTGTATTTTTTGCCTTTCTCTATGGACTTTTGCTTTTCCACCTATGAGGCAATCAGGAGAGAATTGCAAGCTTTTGGATTTATGTCCAGAGCAAATCAAACTGAGTGTTACCTAAAGGCCCTCAGCCTCAGTCCAGGTCCCTCCTGCAGACATGAATGCTCACTGGGCAGGAGATGATAGAGCATAAATTGGACTGCTGGAGCCCACACCCTGTGATGCTATGAATTAGGGGAGCATTTTCAGAAAAGGGTGATCCACTGTGAGCTGGGAAGACATCCCAAAAGAAGATGACTCTGGAGCTTCTCAATCATGGCATGCTGTGCTCTCTCTAATAATCTCTCCCCCCTAGTTACAAACAGGTTGTCCTTGTTCCAAATGCTTTGAGGGATTGAGCATGACTCTGTAATGCCACCCCCACCGCATCCCTTTCTGCAGAAGCATCACTGGCTCTACACAGTAAATGCCCAGATATGGGATTAAAAAAAGGGGGTTCCCTCATATAGCCTACAATGACTTGTTACTGAGCTAAGAAAATATGAGGAAAAATCTTTCAATAACTGAGTTTTCAAGCCCATAAACATAAGTCCAGATTAGAAAGGTTATGCAACTGAATGAGGTCTTAGGGATTTTTTTGGGGGACTTGTCTCTACCCACATTGCTTTATATCCAAGCTCTGACCCATGACTGAGATAATATGTTTAGTCATCATTACCAGGTCCACAGGGACTAGGAAATAGGTGGGAACATTACTTTCTGCTTGCCTCTAATGAGACTCTCAGGGAATCTGGTCCCAGTGGCCATGGAAGCTACTGTAAATACCTGTCTCTGATTCCCACAAACATCCTTCCTACACAGAGGGCTAAGGCCATGAACCTCTGCTCATCACTTGCTCAGAGCTTACCTATACTTCCAAGACTTTCCAAACCTTACAATAAACAGGAGCATTGATCATTTCCTGAAAGGTGAAGAACACCTGATACAAACAAGACCAGCTTCTCCCAGGTGAGATTAAAGCAGTGGAGATGTCAATACTTCTTGACTGATAGGTAGAGTTCTTTGAAGAACCTCCTTTATTAAATCCTCCAAGTCCAGGGGATACTAGTAAGAGTCCTGAATCCATCAGCTGGAGCTTGAGGTGATCCCAGTAATGGTCAGCTGTCTCTCTTGTCTCTATGACCTAAGGAGTGGGGAACCTTAGGAACTTTGACAGAGACATTCATAACGGCAGAGAAGTCTGTGTATGTACATGTGTTTTGTTTTACTGTTATATTTGATATCATTTTAAAACTGAGTGCAGCAGGACCAGCTGCTGATAGCTGAGAGTGTAGGGACTAGGGGCAGATCCTGACGAAGCAACTTTAATAAGGTTTCATTAACATGACTCCTGGCTGGAGCTTGAATTGTTGCATCCAAACCCTTAGCTTCCAGGTTTCTGACGCCTGCCTCTCTCCCATCCCAGCCCCATGAGAGGGGCGAACCGGTCGGGCGTCTCCGAGTTCCTCCTCCTGGGGCTCTCCAGGCAGCCCGAGCAGCAGCAGCTGCTCTTCGCGCTCTTCCTGACCATGTACCTGGCCACGGTCCTGGGAAACCTGCTCATCCTGCTGGCCGTCGGCGCGGACTCCCGCCTGCACACCCCCATGTACTTCTTCCTCAGCACCCTGTCCTTCGTGGACGTCTGCTTCTCTTCCACCACCGTTCCCAAGATGCTGGCCAACCACATACTCGGGAGTCAGAGCATCTCCTTCTCCGCGTGCCTCACGCAGATGTATTTTGTTTTCATGTTCGTGGACATGGACAATTTCCTCCTGGCTGTGATGGCCTATGACCGCTTTGTGGCCATATGCCGCCCCTTACACTACACAACGAAGATGACCCCCCAGCGCTGTGCCCTGCTGGTCGCTGTGCCGTGGGTCATTGCCAACCTGGATGTCCTGTTGCACACCCTGCTGATGGCTCGACTCTCGTTCTGTGCAGACAATGCCATCCCCCACTTCTTCTGTGATGCGACTCCCCTCCTGACACTTTCCTGCTCTGACACACGCCTCAACGAGGTGATGATTCTTACTGAAGCAGGGCCCATAATGATTGCTCCATTTATTTGCATCTTAGTGTCATATGTCTTTATCACTTGGGCTATCCTGAGAGTCCCATCCCCAAAGGGAAGATGGAAAGCCTTCTCCACCTGTGGCTCCCACCTGGCTGTAGTTTTCCTCTTCTATGGAACTATCATATCTCTGTATTTCAGCCCTTTATCCTCCCACTCCGCTAAGACAGATGTAGCAACTGCTGTGATGTTCACAGTGGTGACCCCCATGCTGAACCCCTTCATCTATAGCTTGAGAAACAAGGACATAAAAGGGGCTCTTGGAAAAGTGCTTGCTAGGAAATGGGCAAGGATCATCGTGGAGGGAAGACATTTCTAAGAAAATCATATTTGTAATTGTCTGTTGTGCAAAACCATGTTTGTCTTTGGGAAAAGAATCATCTAGTGTTTATCTGAGGAGAGCAAAACCTGGCACAGCCTCTTCAGGTTAAAGATGGAAAGAGGTCTTTTTACCCAATAACTTGACCGTTCCAACCATTGACACCCCTCTAGCGAGAACCTGCTAGGAATACACCACTTCGTGAGTAAGTGGGGTTTACTGATCATAACAAAGGGGAGCACACACTATGCAGGGATAGTAGGTTTTGTAGGAGGTGTTGAAAGAACTTATTCAAATACTTGGTTTTGTGTAAGGTTATTTTGGTGAAGACTTAGAAATTGGGTCTTTGAATTGATTAGATGCTTTCAGAAAGTGCGAATGGTTTTGATTGGGTATGTTAATATATTTTATCTGAGGGAAGACTAGACCGAGGCCAAAACTGTGATTAGGAAAGAAGTAGCAGTCATACTGGTATCAGCCAGCACAGGGGTGTTCGGTCATTTCTGAGGCTTGTGTTCTTGTTTTTGTCTTGCTCCATTACAGTTACAGAATGGCCTCGTGTCATACCAATATTCTGGGAAATTCTCTACATTCATTGGGAGGGCACTGAGACCCGCTGTGTGCCAGCCAGCTCCTATCAGGGCTGGTTTCTCTTTCTCACAACAAAGACACAGATATGAGAACATCCGATGGAAGGGTCATATTGGTGTTAAGGCAGGCAGGCAAAGAGTTCATTTAGGGCTCCAAGAAGCCCTGATTCTGCCATGTCTTCAAACTAATAATTTTTATCTTTTTATCTGATACATAATATCACACATTACAATAGAAATATGCATAAGTTAAGCAAGAAAGAAATGTCTTCCAGAATATCTGTGCCCAGCCATATCAGTCAACTGAAGATTTTTTTCCCACCCTGTTCCATTTATGCCTTAAATATATGCTAAATAATTTGTATCCTGATTTTCTGCTTTCATTTCATAATAAAGTTTTTCTAAATTTGCTGTATAGTCTATTTATATATTTCCTTCAAGTTACTTTAGCAAAATGTATTCACTAATATATCCATCAAGTTACGTTAGCAAAATGTATTCACTAATAATTGTTTCTGAATTAAAACATAGGATATTTACTATTTAAATATATTATTTAAAACTTATTTTGAAAAATGATTTCAGAAAATAAAAAAATTGTCAAATATATGAAACTGGTTTAAGACATCACTGAACAGGATGGTCTGGATTTTGAGGAAGAAAGAGGAAAATAAGGCAGTTTAATTTCAGACAGGTAAGATGACAGCTTGTATGAAAACTGACAGAATTCAGAATCAGAGGATGTTTCTAAGTTTATCATATGACGTTCTTTTTTGTATTTGTGTATTGATGTTTGCCTAAAGGAATAAACGGTAGCAATTTCAATTTGTAGTCTATATAACCACTAATTCGTAATAAGATGGAAAGTACTTGTTCCTTGAAAGTTTGAAAGAAATCCACAGCTGTTGTTTTATGTAATTTGGGGCTGTGTTATTAAATGCATTTGTGTTTATTCAGTGTTATATACTCCTGCTTTATCCTTCTATCATTATAAAATGTCCCTCTTTTTGTTTTAGTCTATTTTGTTTGATACTAGTATAGCCACTCCAGCTTTCCTGTTTTCTGTTTCCATGATATATCTCTTTCCATCCTTTTATTTTGTATTTTGTATTTTTTATGTCTTTGAATCTAAAATTTTTACCCTGTAGACAACATACTTACATTATGTTTTATTAATTGGGTATGACAATCTCTGCCTTTTGGTTGGATTGTTTAATCTATTCACCCTTAATATTATTATTGATAGTTAGGTTTATGTCTGCCATTTTACTTTTTGTTTTCTGTATGTCTTGTGTCCTTTTGTATTGTTATTGCATCCTTTTACATTAAGTGAATATTTTCTGCTGTAGTATTTTAACCCCAGTGATTATTTTTTTCACTATATTTTTTGGATATTTTTCATCATTGCTGTAGGATTCACCACATGTTAACTTACCAAAATCAGCTTCAGATGTATTCTAGCTTAATTCCTGTGATATGTAGAAATACTTCTATTCCCATTCCCCCTTTTGTGTATTTATTATTGCTTCATATATTATATCTACCAGTGTAACAAACCAAGCAATACACTGTTACAATTATTATTTTACCATTGGTGTTCATTTCCTTAGCCCATTACAACTTTACTCCCATCCACCTCCTTTGTGCTGGTATAGGTGTATATATATGCACACACACAATTTCTGTATGCTATAGGCTCAACAGTACTTTACATTTGCTTTGTAATCATTTAAGAAAGGAAAGGAGAAATTCACTTAGAGTACCTTTTATATAATTATCTTTATCAGTATTGTGTGTGTGTGTGTGTGTGTGTGTGTGTTTGAATTACCATCCGGGGTCACTTGAGTTCAGCCTGAAGGAATTCCTTTAGTATTTCTTGAATAGCAGGTCTGCTGGTGATATATTCTCTTAGTTCTTGTTTATCCAGGAAAGTCTTGTCACCTTTGTTTTTGAAAGATTTCTTTGCTGGCTGTAGGATTCTTGATTTACATTTTCTTTCCTGAGCATTTTTCTCTTAAATTGTTTTATTATTTGTGAGAGTTCTTTAAATGTTGACTCAATAGTAAATTGTTAAACAGTTTAGTAAATTTTTGAATATGTCACAAAGCCTTTCACAAATGCTGCAGCTAGTTTTCCCCATCTTATACTTTACCTTTTGGTTTCAATAATGGCTTTTTGGACACCTTATATGTTTAAATTTTATGTAATTAAAAAGCATTTATTTTGTGTTTTCTTCCACTTCTCCTATGCTTTATGCTTTCCCCCATTCTGTCACTACTTAAATTATCAGCTATATTTTCTTCTAGTTGTTTTCAGTTTTCACAGTTTAAATTAGGAATTTGTGTTTATGATTCTAATTTCATTTTGTCACATATTTATAAAATTGCTCCAGTCACTTTTGAATACATTTTCCTTAATTCATTTATAACACCACTTTTATCATTTGGAAATTGCTAGTCTTTTCTAATATGTGTTGAGAACTTGTGTGCTAGGCACGTGGCCAAGACGTTTCTTTATATCTATTTTAATAATTGCAGCCATGAGGTAAGTATCATTATCATCCCCACTCAAGGCCATCCCTGGGTTTAGAGTGTTTAAGTGACTATCAGTGTCCTGCAGTGAGGACATGGAAGAACAGGATTCTGACATGTCCAGCTCCATCTCCAAGTACATCTTAAACTGACTCTGTAAATTCATATAAAGATATATCGATACACCTGGATAAGCTAGAACAGACAACTTTATAGAAAAATACAACCTTCCAAGGCTGACCCAGGAAGAAACAGAAAATCTGAACAGACCAATTACCAGCAATGAAAGTGAACTGGTAATCAAAAAACTACCTAAGAACAAAACTCCTGTACCAGATGGTTTCACTGCTGAACTTTATCAAACATTAGTGAAAACCTAATACCCATCCTCCTTAACGTTTTTCAAAAAGTAGAAGAGGGGGGGATACTCCCAAACTCATTCTACAAGGCCAGTATCACTCTAATACCAAAAACAGGCAAATATACCACAAAAAAAGAAAATTACAGATCAATATCCATGATGAACATAGATGCAAAAATGCTCAACAAAATATTAGCAAACAGAATTAAAAGATACACCAAAAAGATCATCCATCATGATCAAGCAGGATTTATTCCAGGGATGCAAGGATGGTACAACACTCGAAAGTCCATTAACATCATCCACCACATCAACAAAAAAAGGACAAAAACCACATGGTCATCTCCATACATGCTGAAAAAGCATTCGACAAAATTCAACATCCATTCATGATAAAAACTCAACAAAATGGGTATAGAGGGCAAGAACCTCAACATAATAAAGGCCATATAGGACAAACCCACAGCCAACATCATACTTAACAGTGAGAAGCTGAAAGCTTTTCTTTTAAGATTAGGAACAAGACAAGGATGCCCACTCTCCCCATTTTTATTCAACTTAGTTCTGGAGGTCCTCGCCATGGAAAGCAGACAACAGAAAGAAAAAAAAGGCATCCAGATTGGCAAGGAAGAAGTTAAACTGTCCCTGTTTGCAGATGACATGATATTGTACATAAAAAATTCACTCCAAAACTACTAGATCTAATATCTGAATTTAGCAAAGTTGTAGGATACAAAATTAATACACAGAAATCTGTTGCATTCCTATACACTAATGATGAACTAGCAGAAAGAGAAATCAGGAGAACAATTCCATTCACAATTGCATCAAAAAGAATAAAATACCTAGGAATAAACCTAACCAAGGAAGTGAAAGACGTATACTCTGAAAAATACAAGACACTCATAAGAAAAATTGAAGATATCAATAAATGGAAACACATCCCATGCTCATGGATAGGAAGTTGACATATAATTTTATTTAAATAGCTGTGATTGCTGAACATTTATGTTATTCCAGTATTTTGTTATTACAAATGTGTTGCTTTCTTCCATGATAGCAGTCTCAGAACAATGATGGAGGAAACAAAAATTTCTGTTATGGCCCTTTTGAATTTGATGTGTCTGTTGGATATCCAAATGGAACTATCAAGAAGGAATTGTATATATAGGTTTAGACATCAGGTCAGAGGTTGGAACTGGAAATACACATTTGGGAGACATCAGCATATAGAGAGTATTTGGGAAGAATTGCCATCTTAAACACTACTGAGTCTTCCTATCCATGAATGTGGGATAGGTCTCCATTTATTTAGATCTTTGATTTATTTCAAGTTTCTTAGTTTTCCTCATATAGATCTTGTACATATTTCACTAGAGGTATACCTAAACTTTTTTTTGGTACTAACAGAAAGTGTTATATTTTTAAAATTTCAAATTCCAATTGCTCATTGCTGGTATATAGAAGAGCAGTTAACTTTTGTGGATTAGTCTTGTATCCTGCCAGTTTGCTATAATTGCTTTCGAGTTCCAGGAACTTTTTGTTTGTTTTGTCCCTTTGGGGTTTTCTACATAGACAACCATCTCATCAAATTTTTATTTCTTCTCTATCTGTATACCTCTTATTTCTTTTACTTGTCTAAACCTCTTATTTCTTTTACTTGTCTAATAGCATTAGCTAGAACTTCCTGTATGTATTGAGTAGGAGTCATGAGAAAGGATATCCTTGTTTCTGATCCTTTTTTATTCCTGATCTTAGGGGGAATGCCTCTAGTTTCTGCCCATTAATTCTGATATTGGCTAAGTTTTTGCATATTTTTTTTATCAAGTTGAGGAACCTGTTCTCTATTTGTAGTTTGCTGAGGGTTTTTATCATGACTGGGTGTTGGATTTTGTAAAATGCTTTTTCTGTATTTGATACATGATTTTTCTTGTTTAGCCTGTTGCTGTGATGGCTTAAATTCATCGACTTTTCAAATGTTGAACCAGCTTTGCATACCTGGAATAAATTTCATTTGATTAAGGTATATAATTACATTTTTTTTCTTTCACTGTTGCATTAATTTGCTAATATATTTTTTAGGATTTTGGCATCTGTGTTCATGAGAGGTATTAGTCTGTGGTTTTCCTTTCTAGTAATGGCTTTGTCTAGATTTGGTAGTCAGGTAATGCTGACTTCATAGAATGAGTTACGAATTATTCCTTCTTCTGTTTTCTAGAAGAGATTGTAGAGATTTCATATGTGTTTATTAGAATTCACCAAAGAACCTGTCTGTGCCCAGTGCCATCTATTTTGGAAGATTATTAATTATTCATAGTTTCTTTAATTAATACAGGCCTGTTTAGATTATTTTTCCTTGAGTGAGTTTTGGTAGATCGGTTCATTTCACCTAGGTCATCAAATCTTTTGGTCATTGAACCATTGATTATTTAGGAGCATGTTATTAAGCCTCCATGTGTTTGTGGGCTTTCCCATTTTCTTTGAGTAATTTATTTCTAGTTTCATACCTTTGTAATC